TCCCTCCAGGCTTCCTCCCACAGTCCAAAAACATGGCTGTCGGGTTCTAAATTGTCCTTAGGTGTAAGTGTGTGTGTGTGCGCGCGTGCATGCGTGCATGCCTGGTTGTTGTCCTGTGTGTGTCTGTAATGCCCTGCAATTGACTGGCAACCTGTCTGGGTGTACCCCACCTGTTTGTTCGGAAACTGCTAGAGATAGGCACCAGCCCCTCTAACCCTGCATAGATATGCAGGTAAAGAAGAAGGATGGATAATTTTGTTGCACTTTGCACCAAAGTCCTTTATTTAGCTGTTTGGGTGAAAAAGTGAACACAGCAGCTACGCTAAGGATGTTTGGTTTAAACAAAATCAACAGTTTGATTCTGTCTTGTGCAAAAACACACCGAACATGTTAAAAATGTTTTTATTTGCTTTAAATAGCAGAAAAAAAACCTCTCTGATTCTCAACACTGAGATCTCTCAGGCCTCCTTTAATGTCTCATTATCACCCGACACAACAACTCTAGAAAAATTATTTATTCTTTTAAGAAAAAAAATGCAATTTCAACAAACACCTGGGGGCCATTTGTTCTTGATATCTAATCAAATTCAAAGCTCTCCTTGTGAACCTATTTTTTTCTACTGATGATATCCTTGAGATCATAATTTAGTTTGGATTTACCTGCTGAACCTTTAGTTTCCCTCCTCCAATAATAAAACGCGTTGTCTGAAGAAAAACGCAGCTATAATCATCAGTATTATGGCTGAAGTGTTTTTTACACCTGGAGGATGAATACAGAGGAACACAAAGAAACAAGCAGGGTGAGGTGGATGGTACAGAAAATATGAGGATTTTAACACAATTTTAATAACTGGAAAATGAAAACGAGGGTAAAAAGAATCAAATAAATAAATAAAATAGTTTGTTTCAAGTGTTTTTGGAGTGTATAGTGACTAACAGATGCGACCAGCCAGTAACAAAAGTGAAATCCACACAGCAAGAAAACATAAAATGCTAAAATTAAATATAAACATAATCTAATTTACATAACAGATTTTAGGATAAATCTATTGAATAACTTCTGTTGTGAACAGAATGATTTTATCTATAAATAATCAACCAAATTCAAATGATCAGAGCGCTTTGTTTTATATTTCTGATGAAAATTTGCAACAAATGATTGAATATTGGTTCTCAGGCACATTATTGATTTAGAGTTTTAGTTTTTTATGTGAATAATTCATTTCATGATGTGTATTTTTACATTTGGACCTTTGATGCAGTCAAACATCTCTCCTAAAATTATAGTTTGTATCCATTTAAAACTCCTTTACTTTTTCAACAAAATTACCTGTATTGAAAAAAAAAAGATTTTTCTTCTAGAATATTTCCCACCTATCAGTTTAAAACACAGCATAATAAAACAGATGCCACACAGATTATCTTTCAATATTCTGTAAAGATTTTCCAGAAATGTTCAATTTTTATTAAAAAAAAACAACACATTTCAGACATGTTTTGGTCATTTTGACATCTTGTATGGCCTTTATAAATACAAATGAGCTTTTATTTCGTAGCAGAACGCATCTTTATCTCACATGTAAATGTATGTTTATAACATGCACAATAAAACATCACATTCCTTGTTTGTTTGTTTTTTTGTTTTTTTTTCACATTAATTATCTACTGGAAATCATTTCGGACATTTTTACCATGTTTAGCTTGGAAGAAGAAGAAGAAGAAGAAGAAGAAGAAGAAGAAGAAGAAGAAGAAGAAGAAGAAGAAGAAGAAGAAGAAGAAGAAGAAGAAGAAGAAGAAGAAGAAGAAGAAGAAGAAGAAGAAGAAGAAAATATCATTTCTATAGCGCCTCTCAAGATAAAAATCACGAGGCGCTTCACAAAAACAAAAAATGTAAAAATATAAAAAAGCATTTAGAAAATGGTTAAAAATATATTTTAAATGAGCAAAAAAATAGACAATTGTGATTAAAAAATGATAAGAAAGAGAGAGAGTGAATAGGAAAGAGGGAAATCAGTGGATCCTGAGGAAGGTGGAATAGGTGGGGAGAGCAGAATAAAGAGAGAGTGGTGAAGAAGGTCATACAAAAGCCAGCTTGAACAAGTGAGTCTTCAGCTGCTTTTTAAAGGAGACCACTGATCTCAGGCTCAGTGGGAGAGAGTTCCAGAGTCTGGGGGCCACAGCAGCAAATGATCTGGATATACTGAACTACCTCAAGTCCCTGTACGTCAGCTTCAGTCGGTTCTCACTGCCACAGCTGCATCTGATCCAAAACGCTGCTGCCAAGTTCATCTGTGGAGTACAAAAATGGGAACATGTTACTCCACTGCTGACTGCCTTGGACAGGCTACCAGTGATTTACCACATTATAATCAAAATTCTGGTCCTGCAAGATCGTTGCTTGAGACAAAAATAGGCAGGAGGTGATCAGTAAACAGTGTGACGTCATCTGTTTGCTACACAGAAATACAAAAATGGTGGTGATGTTGAACATTCTGCCTAGTTTTATGGTTTGTTTGTCAGATTCTGAACCAGGAAATGGCTGCAGGCAGCGAGGCAGCAGCCAGAAAGTTCAGGAGCAACCAGTGGCTCCGCCTCCTAGCCAATCAGCGGCCGACAGCCGCGACGCCGGTCTGACTCATCCCTTGGAACCACAACAGAGCAGAGACTGAAAAGTAGAAGGGAAGCAGGGGGAGAATACCGAACCGTGGTGTTGGGAAAAGCAGCCATACCGAACCGAACCATCCCAAGTCACGTTGAGTACTGCCGTTGAAAACGGCCTAATAGTGGTTCCTCGGTCGAAACGCAAGTCTACGTCTCTACCCATCACAAATGCCAGACTAAAGCTTTATTTAGCATCAGGTTGCTAGTTTATTCATGTTTTTAGTGTTTCTTCTTTTTGCTCTATGGCCATATTTCTTTTCATTATTTTATTGTGTTGTGCTTCCATTCAATCCTAATGTTGCTTTGCATCTTGTACGGCACCTTGAACCTGCTAACTGTCTGCAGCAAGGGTTTATAAATGAGCCATTCAGTTCAATGTGATATTTAGAAATGCAGAAAAACAGGACTGCTGCTCATTATTTAGCAGGTTTTTTGTTGTTGTTTTGGATCAACTCTTTTATTTTAAAGTGAGACTGAAGATGAACATCATTACAAGAACACGGTGACTAAAAAGGAGGCTGAACTCAAGAGAAAATGGCTGCTTCTGAAAGGCTTCCACAGGCAGGAAAAGCCCGCTGAGATGTGGACTGTTGAAGCCGTATTAGTATTCGCTGTTCGTGCGCACCTGTCTGCTCCCATTGTCCTCCATACTCGTTTCTGCCTTGGCGTGATGAATCAGTGAGCTTTTGATTTTCACCCACCAAGTTTGATGTGTTGGAAAATGTCATGAATATCTGTAGCTCTTGACTGGAGTTTTATCAAGGCGCAGATGTTCCAGTTAAAATTCTACATGAGTTGCGTGGTGAAATTAATATTTTACATCCCTGACTCCTCTTTTGACGTTAAATCGCCATTTATGGGCAGACGGCCGAACCATTCCTTCTTTTGACCTTTATGCTTCTGTTATGATAGAGGTCATGTGATCAGTCCTGTTCTAGATGCTGGAAAGTTTTTGAGTTAGCGATGAGAGCGAAACCAAAACGCCAAACACAATCCGTCATCTCTTACCTTCCTCTAACATCTCTGTGGTAATAATCCTCTGGTTTCACTCCCATCGCCCACCTTGAGGTTCTCTCTCTCGCTCCTTTCTCCTCCAGAGGACATTTTAGGAATTGAGACATCCTTCAAGACATGGACGTAACTTTCACTTTAGAAGTGGGGGGGACACGGGGGGGGGGGGGGGGGGGGTTCTTTACAGTATGTTCTAATGGGAAACAGGTTTCAACACAAATGGCTGTTTTCTGTTTGGCCCTAGAGCTCAATCAGTGTCAATTTAATATAGTGTAATATTGATTTTGGATGGTAAAAAGTGCAGGGGTCAAAACTTTACTTTGGAAAAAGTGGGAGGGGACATGTGTCCCCCCCCCCCCCCCCCCCCCCCCCCCCCCCCCCAAAAAAAATTACGTCCATGTTCAAGATAATACTGAGATCAATACTGGGGTCACACGCGGGAGGGAAAGTCGGAGACGGAATAAGCGGACGACCATAGTAGATGTGAAGCTCATGCCCTTGACCTTTCTTTCAAGAGCTTGTCATTATTTTAGAGGTTTGTGGCACAAAATAAAAACAAATCTAAGAAGGTAACATTTCAGCTCATTTGGTGAATTACTTTGATCTTCACAGAAAATATGACAGTAAATCTTGACAGGATCACACACGCTTTGGCGTGTTTCGTTTCCCTCCAGAATAATCTGATAATCACTCGGTTGTGTTTGTCTCCTCGGGGGTCTGCTGATTCTGAAATACTTCAGCTAGAAAACGTTGTTGTCTTTGACAAAGCAGCGGTGTGTGTGTTGAGCCTTTTTAAATCAGACGTGTGTGATGCGAGGACCTGACAGAGGCCGTGTGGGGGTGTGGCGTACGTGACTGTCTCCCTCCCGAGCTGCTGTCGTAAAAAGGCTGAAGATAATCAGACACCTCGACTCCACCGGCACACGTTATCCTTTGAGCGATGATGGGTGGGGGTGAAGTGTCACATCCATCTGGTTGTGTCCTCTCTCAAGTCGGCATGCAATCAGTGGGACGCCTGGAGGCTGGAGACGTGGACACTTTTAGATGTGGACATTCATGTGGACGCCAGGAGAGTAATGATTTAGAGCAGCAGAGCAGTATTTTTGCTTGTGGCTGTAATGTTTGCAGGTTTTCTGAGTGGAATAAAGGTTTGGATGTCACCTCCTTACCTGTTGGCTGCTGCTTTATCCACAATCAGGGCCGTGAGGTTTAACAACGCTGCCAAAGACTACATTCTCATTTAGCTGCTGCACTATTGCGGACCTGCGACCCGTCTGTGGGAGAATTTAGCATTCCTCTCTGATTCGTGATGAATATTTGTCTTTCAGATCATTCTGGGAGTGATCCTCCTCTACTACCTCTTAGGAATCAGTGCCTTGATCGGAGCGACCATCATCGCTGTGTTAGCTCCTGTACAATACTTTGTGGCCACAAAGTTGTCCCAAACACAAAAGAGCACTCTGGTGAGTACTTTTATTGGCTGCTATCTTCTGTTTATGGATGAAATGCTGTGAAAATGTTTCTTCTTCAAAAGAATGTGACGCAATCAAACAGGCTAAACGAGCTCAAAAACACACCTCACCCTATTTTAATAAAAAAAAACCTCAACAACAGGATACTGAGTTACAGAGTTTTAAATGACTCTTGAGTAAATCTGGACTGGACAACCGGTAGAATGAGTCTTTATGCTGCTGCAGAGGGACAAAGAGCTGCAGGTCACAGACCCCTTCATCATCGGCTCAAACTTTTCTGGCAGCAACTCAAACAGCTAAAGATCTTCAGAGCTCTGGAATATCATTGTGGGACATTTTGGACTCCACATAAACTCTCGCCTCAGTTCTTCCGCCTGTTAGATTTTTCCCGTGATTGCTCTTTTGCTGCTCTCGGGTCGAGCTGATGTGTCGGATTACGGTTTCCGCTTTCGTCCTTCCAGGAATACTCCAGCGAGCGTCTGAAGAAGACCAATGAGCTTCTGAGGGGCATCAAGCTGCTGAAGCTGTACGCCTGGGAGCACATCTTCCGTGACAGCGTGGAGGAGACCAGAGGCAAGGAGCTCACCAGCCTGCAGGCCTTTGCTCTTTACACATCCATATCCAGTAGGTGATGTTATTGATTTATTTCCACTGCCTTTTTAACATTTGCTTTTTAAGAATGATAGCAGGACAGCAGCTGTCTGTGTGGCTCCAGCTCTGCTGTAGACTGCATCTGATCTAAAATCAATGACTGCAAACTTGGAGAAGTCAGCAAAAATGTCCCGTTTAGCAGTTTGACAAGAAGAACGAGACACTAGCACAGTTTTCCGATTAAACCCCACACGCTGTGTGATTTTAAAGTATTTTTTCTACACTCAAACAACTTCACAGCCAGTGTTTTACACATGGTTGGTGATTATTGAAGAAGGAAAAACTTGAGAAAATATGTAAGCTTTATTTGAATCAATGACACATTTGCATGTTTAAACAGGGATGCATTGCAGCATTTGTGCAATATTTCTGCAGATGTGCATATCTTCTTTTTGTAGTCATCCAGACATATCTGTCCTTGCATCAACAAACCTCCAATTCCTGATAAAAACGTGTCTTGCTGATGAATTCCTACTTCTGTTTGTGTGCTCCTCCCCCAGTTTTCATGAATGCAGCGATCCCGATTGCAGCTGTGCTGACGGTGAGTTTTATTTTAGGGGTTTCTCCGCAGTAGACCTTTAAGTTATTGTCTTTGCGAAGGACAGATCAGAGACGACGCCAGGCAGCAGAGCACTAAATCCCGCCTGTATTAATGGAAGCGCTCCAAGGCTGTTGACCGTTAAAAATCACAAAAGCCAGACAAACACGAGGATCAGGGACAACAGTGAGGGACACGTAGAGACAAGCAATTCACCTTAGACTTGATTCAATCCTCCCCACGGGATGACTCACCGTCTGTTTGCCCCTGATGGAGTTTTACCTTGAACTGGCAACAAATAACCGTTCCTTCCAAGGAGGGAACGTCATTTACTTCCAGCTAACCCGAGACACCCGTGTCCTTTCTGTGATCCTGCAGACGTTTGTGGTTCACGTCCACATTTCCGAGGACGCTGATCTGTCCCCAGCTGTGGCCTTTGCCTCCCTGTCTCTTTTTCACATCCTGGTTACCCCTCTATTCCTCCTCTCCAGCGTGGTGCGCTCCACCGTCAAGGCCCTTGTGAGGTGAGAAACATGTCTGGACTCTTTGGTTTGAATGTGTTGTTGTGGTGGAAAGGTGAACCGCAGAAAAACCCACCTGAGACTGAAGCACGAGCCGAGCGCTGAAACGTAACATGATTAGACGAAGCTCGTGACCTTTCCCTGCAGAGGATGGGTCAGCTGCATTATTGGATTTTGTCACCAACACCATCACTCGTAAACTGGTCCGTGACTCAAACATCACTACTACTTTTCCACCTGCATCATCTTTTGTGATTTAGTGACTTGTGTGACTTGTGCCGATGTCAATCCCTTTTCTCTGATCTTTTCATTCCTCTGACCTTTTATCCAACTTTGATTATTGAGACTGATTGACACGTTTCTGCCTCTAGAATACAGTTATTAACCCCACTTTTAAGTCTGAGGGCTTTTATTGTGACAGAAATAGCATAAAAGATGGTGCCAAAAGGGACAAATAAAATAATTAGCTACAGCAATTTACTTGGAGTGATCAGCGATGCCTCACAGATACAAACGCTTTAGCAAAAATCGAGTGAATTAACAAGTAAGACGGTCTTCTAAGGATGTCACGTAAAGTGACTGAGGAAGAGCAGCTCTCAGGTAAAAAGGTCACGTCACTTCAAATCCAATCAGCTCCGCTTGCGCCTCTGGGATGTGCTCACAGGTTGGAGGGTTTGTAATCAGTGAATGAAATTACAGCAGGGATCACCTTAAACTGCCACTGCTGAATCAAATCAAATCTACTTTTATTTATAGAGCCCTTTTCGTGATAAAATCACAACAAAGTGCTTTACATAAAAACAATTAAAACAAGCTAAAAATAGTTAAATATATCAATGAAAAGCCAAGGTCAAAAGGTAGGTCTCGAGCCTCTTTTTAAAAGCATAAATAATTTCAGCAGCCCTGAGGTTCTCCAGCAGACCGTTCCACAGACGAGGGCCATAGTGGCTATAAGTTTTGGTTCGACTAAAAAGCCAGTACCGGAGGACCTCAGGGAACACGGCGGCTCATAATTTAAGAGAAGGTCAGGTAAATAGGACGGTCCAAAACCGTGGAGACATTTATAAACAAATAAAATAACTTTTAAATCGATCCTAAAATGCACAGGAAGCCAATGCAGCGATTTTGAAACTGGAGTAATATGTTCCTGCCCTCTGGTCCTGGTCAGCACACGTGCTGCTGAATTCTGGAGTAATTGTAAGCACCAAATACTCTTTTGGGGTAGACCAGAGAGCAAGGCATTACAATAATCTAATCTGTATGAAATAAAAGGAAGTGTGAACACCACATCTCATCTTTAGCTTTAGGAAGCAGTCTCCGTGGCGTTGGTGTGACTGGGAAGTTTTATTTTTACGAGGATGGATGTGAAGGTCGCCTGTGATCCTTGGAGATGCTGATTTTAGAAACAAATGATGCAAAATACTCAAATGTATCCTGAAACAAAACTATATATATATATATATATATATATATATATATATATATATATATATATATATATATATATATATAAACCACGTGGGGCTGAACAGGTTTTGTTTTTACATAATTGATGGTGGAAAATAGTCTGTGAAGCAAATCTCATCCTTTAGTTTCAGATTTGTATGAAACAAGGACATCTTACTGTATTTTGTTTGTGAAGTAGATTAAACTTGAGCCAGTCGAGGTCACACGCTGGTGTTTTGTTATGTAATCAGATTTGTTTTGCACGAGTCAGCAGAGCAGTCAGTCAAGAAGGGAGATGAACAGTGGGTGTATTGAGCAGATGGGTGTGGAGACTGCTGAATCTGATTTAAAATTTCTCAGGAAGAAGAAAGTTGTGATCTGAGAGCTAAAGCAGCAGATTTTTTATTTTCGCTCCCCGACAGCTGACTCTGTTTTTTTGGCAGCGTTCAGAAGCTCAGTGAGTTTTTCTCAAGCGATGAGATTGGAGACGAGCAGGAGCCTAAAGCCACGCTAACCTCCAGCTGCAGCAATCACAACCAAAACAGATACCAGGCGGTGGTGAGTATGAGCTCTCCTGGAGACGATGCAGGAAAACACCTGATTCTGTCACTTCCTCTCTGCTTCGTCCAGCTCTGACTGTTGTCCTCTTCCTCCACCTGACTCCTATTATGACCATTAACCCTCCATTCGCTGGATGTCATACAACCCTCGTCTAGTCGTCCTCTAAGCCTTTCCCTTCGTCGTCCTCCTCCTTTTTCTCCCGGTACCTCCAGCCCCTGAAGGTGGTGAACCGGAAGCGCCCTCCAAGGGATGAATGGAACAACTACAGCTCACAAGGGGAGCAGGAGAGCGACGGGCCTTCTCAGGAAGTGGACCGAGACATCTGCATCAAGGTGAAGGGGTTAACCGGAGTCGTCTTTCTGAACTGTCTGCCAGGCAGACGCAGGTGTGATCTGAGGCAAAAACCTTTATGAAAACTCAGCGATGACTCGACCGCACCAGAAGCCTCAAGATTTTAACTTTACTTAAAGGTCAGCTGGTGGAAAGATCAAAACCGGCACAGTTTCGCTTCAGGTTATGAATCAAAACCCTTGATGACCTTTAAAGATTTCTTTACATGAAGAACAAAAGTCTGGTTGGAAAAAAAAAAAGATGTAAGGATGTATTTGGTCATTTTCCTGCCTGATACTAATAAGCTGTGTTTAGACTTTTTTTGTTTCTTAGAATATTTTCCTCTAGAATTATCATAAAATGTTGTGTTTTCTTCTGATGTTCCTGTTTTATTCGTCAGCCCTTCAAAGCTTAGAGAAGTATCCTGAAGTGTCATCGTCCAAAGACGGCCTTCGAATCAAAACGTTACATTTTTAATGAGCTTGAGAGTATTTTACATTCAGCTCACAGCCCAGGAGCTGCACCAGACCCATGTAATGTTCAGTTTGACTCATCTGCTGACTGAACCTGTGCCACATCTCCAGATAACGGGGGGATATTTCACCTGGACAGACGGACCACCAACGCTCTCCAACGTGGACATCAAGATTCCCTTTGGTAAGCATCGCCTCCTCCTCGTTTCTCTGCTTCCTTGTTGTTATTTACGTTTACAGTTACAACAACGCCATGTCGTCTAATCTGTCAGGAAAGCTGACGATGATCGTGGGTCAGGTGGGTTGTGGGAAGTCATCTCTGCTGCTGGCAGCACTGGGAGAGATGCAGAGGATTTCTGGAACTGTCATCTGGAACAGGTCAGCATCGTTTTTTCACTGAAAACAGTTGTGTGTTTTATTTACGCTGTAGCTCATGAGGTAGCGCGGCTTGTCCAGTAAGCAGAAGGTTGCAGGGTTGATCCCGGCTCACAACAGAGAATGCTGCAAGACAACCTGCCTTGCCTGCTGGTGGTGGTCGGGGGGACCAGTGAATGGCAGGCCTCGCCTCTGTCAGCGCACCCCATCATCACCAGTGTGTAAATGTGTGTGTGTGACTGATTGTGTTGTAAAGCGCCTTGGGGGGTTGCAGAAACCTAAGAAGGCAATATACAAATGCTTGGGGCAGCAGTAGCTCAACGGGTTAAGTGGGTTGTCCTGTAATCGGAAGGTTGCAGGTTCGATCCCGGATCCGGACAGAGAATTCTGCTGTTGTGTCCTTGGGCAAGACAGTTAACCTGCCCTTGGTGGTGGTCGGACGGACCGGCGGCGCCTGTGCTCGGCAGCCTCGCCTCTGCCAGTGCGCCCCAGGGCAGCTGTGGCTAAGCCGTAGCTCATCCCCACCAGTGTGTGAATATGTGTGTGAATGGATGAATGATACACTGTAGCGTAAAGCGCTTTGGAGTCCTTACTCTGAGAGGCGCTATACAAGTTTATTTATCATTATCATTTACCATTTCAGATATTAGGAATTATTTCTGCTTCTGGAAACACAAAGTTTAACTTTATAAGTTGTGATGCTCCCGAACGAGCTTTTGTGTCTTTTCTCTGTGTCCTTATCTAAACCTCCATAGTAATTTGTTCATTTGGAGCTTCTGCATCATTTTATTTCAGGTATTTCTGCACCAGTTAGTTCTGAAACAAAGCCATATGCAGGAAAACTAGCCTTGCAAGAGCATTCTCACTATGACTCAGCATTATAAAGAAATGGATTTGTAGGGTAATGAAATAGAGCTGATAAAGAACTGGCTATCTTTCATGGTTGGGCGGAACACTTTATGCACCAGTGACCTGAATTCAGTTTGCTGCTTCAAGGATAAACTCCCAGACCGTTTGCTGCAGCAGCAGGTCAAGCACACACCGAAATCCCACTTACCTTCCCATCATCTCTGTAAAGCATCTGCTGCAGGGCTGCAAACCCTGCTCTCATGTAGATTAATCATAAAACAGCTCAAAATATTAAAATACTCTCCTTCTATGTAAAATTAAAGCAGCATTCACTCACACTCAAGTGTTGCTGAGCTTTATTCGTATTTGCACAAAAAATTTTATTGTCATTCTTTCAATTGAAAAAACAATCGTTTTAATTGACTTTTGCACATTTGCAGATGAAGTCATTGTAGTCAGAAGAGGATTTGTTTTCCGGATTGTCATCTTTTCCCAGAAACAAGACGTGCATATCGCTATGTGCATTGTTGTTGTTTAGGTTTAGGGCTTCCATATAGACGGAGGAATTGCTTTACCGTAAAAGTCATAAAATCGCTTTTAAACACGACAAAGCCAAACAGTAAACCTGGTTGGCCAATATGGCCATTTCTAGGAAAAACCTCTAATCATACTGCAAACTCGGACGTCCTCCTGTGTTTCAATAAAACAGGAGAGTTCACATTAAACCCTTCAAACGTTTGGTGAGTCATCGCTGCATTTGAACGCCTCATCAGGCACCCAGAATAGAGCTGCACTCCATTTGTCAGAGGTTTAGACTCTCCCAGCTGATCATAACTGTTTTTGGCTGTAACACACACACACACACACACACACACACACACACACACACACACACACACACACACACACACACACACACACACACACACACGCGATCTTAGGTTGGGTAAAATACCTTACTGCTTGCCAGTGACTCTCACCTATCACGTGCCCCCCGGATGACGAAGCAGCTGTCATCTGGACTCTGCCGTCGCCACGATTTTGGATGCACATAAAACAGAGTTTGTCCTTCTGTTCCTGTGATGTTCTGTTGTCGCTGCGCCGCTGTGTTCGGTTATAAACATTAAAGCTACAGTACACTCTGATCAGGCGCTGATTCCTGGAAGAGCTGTCAGCTTTTAAGAGGGACTCTCTAATAAATTCCTCGTTCAGCACAGAGCTGAGGGCAGCAAAACAAACTGATGACACTAATCAAGCCAAATGCAGAAGAAGATAAATGAGACGGGCTTCCGCCTCACTGTGGTGGAAGTGTTAGTAATCAGAGGAGCCAGTGGCGCTTCAGGTTGATAATGATGAAGCAGTGATTGGCTGGTTTGGAGCTCATTTCTGATTCAGAAACAACTTTGTAACGTGATGGAGGAGCTATTCCTCCGAAGGTTATTTACCTTCTCTCCACAGATGCCTCTGACACAGTACTAAGCTGCATGAGACTGCCTCAAGGTCATGCATTCGCTTCTAAAACTGCTTTCTTTCTAGCTCAAGAGAAGATTGAAGAAAGGACTCTTTCCTTTAAATAAATCAAAGAACTCTATTTTTAATAAAGCTAATCAAACAAAGTGTTAGTCAATAATATAATGTTGACTGATCTGTGAAATAACAATGTTATGATTAATATGCTTTAATAAGTAATATGACTTTAATCTAGCTGCACTAGACATGCTGATTACACGTAATGTAAAGGCATGACACATTGCTTTCACTGATCCAATCAGAACCTTCCTTTCTGAAGCGTGGCATAGTCTCTGCGGTGTTTATAAATCTGCCAACTTTGATTCTGTGAGGACCTGACCTACCTGCTGCTACAGTAAATACAAAGTGTTACATAATCCCTGCAATAAAAAGTTCCAATCTTCTGGTTAAAATAACCCAACGGTCCGTAAAATTGATTTCATGTTTACTATGGAATCTTACATCTTACGGGTCCTTAATTAGATGTAAATTAACTTATTTTACAACTTTATCAACCAGCTGATGGTCTGGCTGCTCGGCCTCGCTGGGTTGCTTCATCCTCTTCTCACACATGTCCAAGTGGAGATCATAATAAATCACCAAAACTATAACAATCCTAAAATGGCATAATAAAAATTCAGATGAGAAAAACAAACAAAAACCAAGAACTAAAAGGCAAGAATTCCAGGTGCATCAGTGGTTTTCCATCCATTATTGGATTAATTCAATGGTAGAATTACCAGTTCATCTCCTCAGAAACCTGTTAATCACCCACTGATTAAAACCAGGTGTGTTGAAGCAGAGCAACAACTAAAGCATGCTGGGTAGAAGTCCTCAGGGACCAGGACTGGACACTGCTGGAATGCATGAAGTCAAAGCTTTAATAAAACATGTGTCACAAAGAGAAATTAATATTATAAATGATAAATTATGCTGCATTTGAGTCGTTACTTCAGACAGAGGAGCAAAAGGATCTTGTGTTGTTCGTGAGTACCGAAAGATCAACTCAAACCTGAGATTTAATTTATGAACAAAACAACAGGATCCTGGATGAAAACAGCTGAAATTAACCACCTGCATCAGCCTCAGGCCTGCTTTACACAGCAAGAGAATTATACTGATTTTTGACCCAATCCTCCTTTTGACAATCACAAGGAGGCCTCTGATTATTTCAATTCAATTCAATTTTATTTATATAGTGCCAAATCATGACAAGAGTTATCTCAAGGCACTTCACATAATAAACATTCCAATCCAGGTCAGTTCATTAATGGGCCATTCCCATCTGTACCGGGTCGGCCCGGGCCGGGTAGCGTAGGTTGTTTACATATCTGGGTGGCCTGGTATTTTTCCGGGCCAACCAAGGCTCATTCTCAGCCCTCTTCTCGAGGGGGTCTGCTTCAGGCCGACCAGGGCCAACACACCCACTGCTGACAGCAAATTCACACCTTCCATTAGAGCAAGCCTCTGATTGGTGGGTAGAATCAGCCCACATGGGCTTAAGGCAAGGATGTGTGGAATCAACTGGGCCAGGCTGGGGCCGACTGGGGCTACCCGGCCCGGGCCGACCCGGTACAGAAGGGAATGGCCCATAAGCCAATCAGAAAAAAAATGTTTCCTATATAAGGAACCCAGCAGGTTGCATCAAGTCACTGACTAGTGTCAGTGACTTTACAGCAATCCTCATACTAAGCAAGCATATAGCGACAGTGGGGAGGAAAACTCCCTTTTAACAGGAAGAAACATCCAGAGAATCCTGACTCAGTATAAGCAGCCATCCTCCACGACTCACTGGGGATCGAGAAGACAGAACACACACACACACACACACACACACACACACACACACACACACACACACGCACGCACACACACACCAAGTAATGTGTCTATGGTTACATTGTGATTTCTAAGTAAATATTCTATTTGGTGAGAGATAAACTTTATTGTATTTATCCTAGTGAATCTATAATTAAACGGGTGAACTAGCAGTAGCACATCCAATGTCAAGGAAAGCAATAAAAAGTTATTATCAGGAGAGGGAGAATGTTTAAGTGGTCAGCAGCAGTGTGCTAGACGATGGTCCCCTCCATGAGGCCACCACAGCTCAGCAGAACATCGTTGTAGCTTCTTCTGGGTAGAAAAACACTTAGAGAAAAAATAAAGTTAACAGCTGAAATTGCAGAAAATAATACAGTTAAAGAGCAGATTGTAGAAGTAGTAGAGTGTGAAAAGTGGTCAGTGTGTCTAAGCCTATAGCAGCATAACTAAAGAGATAACTCTGGATAACCTAGCCTTTTTAGATGGAGGCATGTTGGAGGCAGGGCAAGAGAGAGCCGTCTTTACCGATTGTACACTCCACCTCCCTCTACTCCCCCACTTGTCCAGATCTAGGCTAACATCAGATTTTAACCATAGGCCCTATCAGATAAAAATGTTTTAAGCCTAGTCTTAAGTAGACAAGGTGTCTGCCTCACGGACTAAGGCTGGGAGCTGGTTCCACAGGAGAGGAGCCTGATAACTAAAAGATCTGCCTCCCATCCTAATTTTAGATATTCTGGGCACCACCAGTAAACCTGCAGTCTGAGATTACTGCAATGACTCCAAAGATAATCCTATCAGATACTCCTGTGGTGTGTGACGAA